GCAAGGGCTATTGACACCTTCAAATAGTATGTAGACTGTGCGAGAAGTGTATTGCATATAATGACATGAATGCACTTTAGATATAGGTGAACTTCAGTGAAATTCATTGGATGAAACTTTAACAATCCTTATGCTACGTTGGATAAATATTCATGTAGACTGGCGACATCAACGAATATCTATGTAACTGCTTCGTGGCCGAAGAAATCCTCTTTATCAAATGGGTTCTTTTAGCCTCACTGGAGGTAGGTGGTGTCAACAGCCTTTCGTGACACCTCTGGTGGTGGTGTCGTTAAGCATTGCTGACGCCTCCAGCAGGTGTCAACAACTCTTCCTGACACCCCTGGTGGTGTCAATAGTCCTAGTTGACACCTCGTGGTGGTGTCAACAGACTCACCCTTAAATTATCCCATCAAAGAAATAAAATAAACAACCTATAGAGCCTGTCTTTTCTAAAGCTGCCCCATCTACATTTCACGGCAGGGGAATACAAAAACATGAAAATATTTGTCCGAACGTATATTAAAGTAGTGATAGCAGAAAGAGGCAAGAGTTGGAATAAAGACCCTTAAAATTAAAAAGTTAGAGATGATCGTAAAAGCTAGCGTACTTGTGTCATATTTCCTTATTCCATGAGAAGTATCTGATCTTTAACAACCGTTACCAGCCGTTTACAATACGGCAAAATACGAGTGTAATACGGGGCATGGTAACAAGTTAAATTTTGGTTCCTTTACGACCGTAAACGCTATGAAACGACCTTATAAGTCATCGTTTTCGAACGCCTACCGTCGCTTACAGCGGTTGTAATCATAGTCCTGGATAAGACCTGCAAGTTTCCAGAATCTTTATACTTTCATAACAAGTTTCACAAACACTTTAGGGACAAACATAAGCAATTTTTTTAGGCACTATATTCACCTAGTCTCAGAAACTATAGACACCAATCACGTGCATAACCCCGTCTGAGTGTCTCGGCACTTTCTACTATAGCCAACTGTCCGAAATTCCCATGAAATCCTGATCGACCTAATTGTCGAAATTGGATCCCGGAATTGAATTTATACTGCGGCCCAGTCGAAGTGGCCGAGTCAGGCATTCATCGAAAAGGTGCATTAGAGCCATGGCATGTCGAGAAAGCGAAAATGAGGGAAAGAAAGAAGATGAACACGAACGTGCAGATCGAGAACACATAATTAGGAGGCGTTTTTGCAATCTATAATTCAGCGACGAAGCAAACAAACTACGCCGAAGTATATAGCTGAGTGCGACAATATCTTGTATGTCCACTCTTGAAATAAATTTTGATTAATCTTGAGAAGTGATCGAATATTTAGTGGTAGAATGAGCCCCATTGACATCGTTCTATAGAAGTACACCGTTCCTCAGAAGAACGACTGTTCAAAGGTTGTACCGAATAAGAGAGCAATAGCGCAAACTCACGGAGAAGCGAAACAACAAACGATGAAAAACAAAGAAAAAAGAGGAGCGCAGCAGTCGCCGCAATCTCACGTCAAAGAGCACAACCACTAAAAAGGAAAAATCAACGACAAGAACTACAGAAATAAACAAAGCTCCCATACCACAAGAGGGGTGTCAGAATATCACTACGCAGTGTATTCTCAAAAAGAGACTGTTTTTTTCAAACTTGCTGGGCTTCGTGCATTCCCACTGAGAGTACACGAAGCAAGCCCAGCAAGTGTATTTTCGCTGACAATACACGAGAATATACCAGAATACCCCAATATATAAATTTTTATAAAATGTGCTGGGCTTGATGTATTCTCACTGACAATACGCAGATGTTGCATAGCGACTCACTCTCATGCTGCATCTGCCCCCCTCAGCCCGACCGCGACACTATATTATATATTATCAATATTTGCGTATTCTGGTATATTCTCGTGTATTGTCAGTGAGAATAAACCAAGCCCAGCAAACCCAGCAAATAGTGTCTTTTTGAGAATACACTGCGTACTGATATTCTGACATCTCTGTACCACAAAGCCACGCCCTTAGCGTCTTCCGTAAATCAAATGCTGTTTTATAACTGTTCAATAACTTTAGAACCAAAAGGCAGAAACAATTGATTCCGTCTTCTTCTACAACAACAGACTTTTATACTACAATCTTATTTTTTCCAAGATTAAAAAAACCCATAACTAAGCGAGTGTGTTTCACCATAATACAACTTTTCTTTTTCTTTTGTACACAGCCCGCTTCTTTCCAGGAAGAGTTGTTATTGCACATGCGATGGCAATAGGAAAAAAACACATTGATTAGGAGAGTTTTATTTTCATTCTTCGTCATTCATCTTTATGTCAATCAATGTGTTTTTTTCCTATTGCCATCGCATGTGCAATAACAACTCTTCCTGGAAAGAAGCGGGCCGTGTACAAAAGAAAAAGAAAAATTATATTATGGTGATGCATACTCGCTTAGTTACGGGTTTTTTTAATCTTGGAAAAAATAAGATTGTAGTATAAAAGTCTGTTGCTGAAGAAGAAGACGCTGCAGTAGCAAAATATAAAATAGCGAGAGAACACAGCAACTACACATTTAATAAACGAAGAATCTTGGTAAGTTTTTGGCATCTTTTCAGTAGCCTTGTTCTAATAGACAGTACTTTAGTACAGGAGCATACTGTTTTTTCTATTTTCTACCTTACGCGAATGATCAGTGCACAGATATAGCGACGGAGTTTTTCCAGTTTCCAACGTATTGATAAATGGTTGAAAAAACGCTAGCCTGCTGAATGGGTTCACTAAATGGGGCCGCTTTGTGATGAAATCGGCCCGTTAACCGACTTCAGCTTTAGTCATAGGGTAGGTACAATGTGACTAGGGGAGTCGAACTGGGCATCATCGAAACCCAAGAACTACTTCTTAACACATTACGGTCCGGCTTGTTTGGGCCCAGATTTATGCCTGTAGCCTACATTTTTTGATAGATACTGCTCCATTCAAAAAAGCTTTTTTTTATTCGAAAGCACAAAGTTTATTTCAAAATAAATTTTATTTCAATGCGTTTACATAAAAATTCTGTTGTTTGAATTTTTATTACAAACCAAATACATATGTAATACATGTATATATAACATATATGTATACTAATAATGTTTAAGTGTATGGTATTTTGTGAAACATTTACTCCTGTGAAGTGGAACGTTGCAGTGTTTGCATATGTGAATCGTTGTACTCCGTTTATTATGTTTAGCGCACACACGGCATCGTCTTTGAGGATGGCGTATTTTTCCAGTGCCTATTATTTGTTGTTTCATGTCTTGTGCTAATCTTGTTGGCGGATCTAATTTTGGTGCGCGTCTTGTCCGCAATTCGGATGGTCCAGGGTTTTCTTCATTTTCTTCATCGTCGTCTACATCTTGAATATCGTCGGTTATCCACATACGTGCAACTGCATGTAAAAACTTCTTGTATCGCATCTTCTTTGTGTTTAAATTGTTATATACACGATACGCATTAAAAAGGGCACAATTTAACAAATAGAGGAATACCCTGTTTGTCCATTTTTTAGTTTTTCTTGCGATTCTGAAATACAAAATGTACGGATCGGCCCGATCTACTCCTTTCATATATTTATTAT